ACTCGGTTACCAGACTAGCAGGTGGGGAGGGAGACAGGGAGGGTGCTGCCCCCTCCAGCAGGGCCTGCTGAGCCCCACGGAGCTGCTCACCAGTAGATGTTCTGCGGGTCCGGGGCATAGCTGACAGTCCAGTTGGAGACGTGGAGGGACTCGCTGCAGGAAGAGGCCCTGGGCTCTCCACGGCACGCACAGCCCTGGCACTTACAAGCATTGAAATCTTTGAGGATTCTGGAGGAGAAGAGAAAGAGGGAGATGCTGACACAGAGGGCTGGCAGGGGCGTGCCTTGGCGCTGGCATTCCTCCCATTTAAGGCGAGAGCTGGACAGGTCACCTTCCTGGGGAAGGCAGGACACTTTGCACTCACATGGCTGTGATGGTCTCATTGTGGAAGGTGACAAAGGCCATCCCCAGAGGCTTTTCATTCACCTTCTCCTTCTCCCGCTTGTAGTCATCCTTGAGCTTCTCCTCCAGCTTGGTATAGTACTCGATGGCCTCCACCTGGGCAGGGGGACAGGAGTCAGAGCAGAGACCCAGGGACCCAAGCCCCCGCGTGCCCTCTGCCCAACACCTCCGGCTCTCCCCCGCCGACCTCCTCGCAGCCCCTGATGACACAGCAGCACAGGTGGCCACAGGGCTTGGGGTTGATCATGGACGGGGTGTTCTCCTTGCTCTGCAGGTTGGTGAAGTAGATTCGCCCACGCTCAGCTTTCTTCCTGAAACAGGACAGCAGGAGAGGAGGAAGGAAAGAAAGAGGGCGGCTCAGAAAAGCTCCCGTGGCACCAGACTTGAGGGAGAGCCCGCGGCATCAGCCCACCCTGCCTTCTCTCCCAAACCAGGGGTTACCTCTCCGCGTCCAGGAACATCAGGCGGGCCACATCATAGCAGGGACGGGCCTCCAGGACGGTGCAGTTGGCGTAGGCCTCCCTGGGGACGGGAAGCACCGGCTCATCACACCGGGCACCAAAGGCTGGACCCCCCTCAAGCAAACCCCACGTGCCCAGGGCTTCTCTCCCGCCCTAGGACGAGTGCCACGACGCTTCACTGGGGGCAGCCACTGCATCCTCTGGGCTCTGGCATGAGGATCCTCTTTGGACTTTCGCCCCTCTGACCCCACACCCCCTCTCTGCCTTCGTGGGCCACTGGGCTTGGGGTTGGAAAGAGGCTGAAGGGTTTCCAAAGGGTACAAATAATCTTTCCTGTCCCCAAGGTGCTTCTAAACACGGCCCTTCTAAACATGGCCCTGACTGTGCGTTCACTGAGGTCCTGACAGAAGAGGAGTTTAATTTTTTTGTGAAAAAGAAACATAGAATTTTCTACAAGGACTGTGAGAGCGAGGCAGAAGCAGCAGCACAACATCCCACAGTCGCTGCTTGAGCGTCTCCTGCCTGCATCCCATCTCTGGGCTTGACTACATGCCCTGTCCACAACCTTACCAAGCTGACCCCCTATGGCTCTGCAAGAGGTAGAGCTGGGCATATCCCAAGGCACAAAACCGAGGGCAGTGCACGTTCAGATAAACATTTGTGCAGAGAAATAACAGTGAGACGCCCAAAATAAAAGCGTTCACCGGTTTTGACTGGCTTTCTGCTCTCAATGCGTTATTGCCATCCCAGGTGACACTAGCACTACCCCAGTAAAACACCCCTGTTCCAGCACAGCCTTTCATTAGGGACACAGTCAGACTCACTCAAAATGCTTCTTGATCTTCTCCGGCTCAGCATATTTCGAGATCCCGTTGATGAAGAGAGTTCGCTTAACCTGGAAGGAAGGAATTAAAGAAAGAAGAGGGCAGGTAGGTGTGGGTGGTGTGAGAGACCGGATTGCAGCAAAACCTGCCAAGGCCCGAGTCACCGATGGGAAAGGGCAGCCCCACTGCTTCTAGCACCCAGGGCTCCCCCTCTCCTACGCTTCCACTAGCTGCCGGCATCCCACATCCCGGCGCGCTGGAGACCGACAGGCTGGGGGCTTACACTGCAGCTGCCTGAACAGAAATAGGGGATATCCTTAAGAAAAGGAGGCAAAAAAGCAGCTGAAGCAACCCCTGAGGAAGGCATGGAGTGCCCCCTACATGTTCACCCGGTGCAGGCCAACCCTGTTTCCCTGCAGGCAGGCAGGAGTCGGGAGGAGAGCCGCCTTTGGCCAGGCAGAGTGAGAGACGGGCCAAAACCAGGCAGCTCCAAATGGCTGCGGGAAGCGGGGCGCTCAGCACTTTCTCCAAGGCCACCCGCCTTGACGGGAAGGGCACGGGAAAACGGGCCTGGGAGAGCGGCCAGATCCTGCTCACCAAGTCATCCTCCTTGTAGCGCATCTTGGAGGTGTGCCGGCGCATGCTGTACACCGTCAGCAGCAGGTACAGGAAGGCGAAAGACGTGTGCAGCCACAGCAGGTTATTCCTGTCACAAGCCAGACCACAAAGGTCAGGGCAAGGTCGCCACGACGGGTCTGTGTAGGGTCTGTCAGGCCCCGAAGGCGCCGGGGCCACGAGCGGCATAACCCGTGCGGCACCCGCGTGCCCTACGACCGACTTCCAGGAGCTCAGACTGGAAACGGGAGTGGGGACAGCGGCCTCACAGCAAGGGCAGAAACGCGACCTTCGAGGAGGTGAGGCTCTGCAGCAAGTGGACGTGGACAAAATACCCCTGGAGGGCCTCAGTGGCCCATCCCACCCCTGCCCACACGTACCCAGAATTCAAGTTGGCGATAGTCGTCCTCCCAAAGCTGTAGGCGTTGTTTTCTAGGGAGAAAGAGGCAGACAAGCACGCTCAGTTAGACTGAGGAGTAGCACAGAGCACCACCGGGGTGGGCTACGGCAGGAATCTCACCTGCAGAACATCCCCAAAGCCCAAGCTGCTCCACATGACCCTCTGGATGCACCCCGCTCAAGGTGGGACAGCAGTCCGTGTTAGCCCTGCCCTCCACTGCTCCCCAGGGGTTTGGGACACGGTGTTGAAAGCGGCTCTCCCAGCCCAGCCAAAGGCTCCTGGCTCTTACCTAGCAGGTCCCCTGAGAAGTTGACAGGTAAGACAATGCCCACGGAGAGCACACCCACGGCCACCAGCAGCCCGATGATGTGCCTCTGGAAGGACAGGTAGTGCACCGCGTCCCCCCCGCACTTGTCCCGGATCTCGTCGTCCCTGCCGGGGAGAGAAAAGGCCGTCAGGCAACCTTCTGCGTTCCCTCAAGCGCTGGAGAGAAAAAAAAAAAGAAAAGCACAGGGTCACGGGCTGCCCTCCTGGTTTGAGCCCACGCAGCGCCCCTGCTTCTGCCCCACAGGGCTGTGGCCAGGCCCCGGGGTAGGGAGCCCCAGCACCCAGCCTTGAACCAGCCTAGGCAGAAACCTGCCCGTGCGACGCTTACTGCAGCC